CTCGTGCAGGTGTAGGTGCGGCCGAAGCGCACCAGCCTAGCGGAGAGTTTCCCCGCCTGACTGTTAAGCCGCGCTTGCGGTAACGGTTACCGATTTCTCTGGTGCGCGTTTCAGGCTTAGGGTAGCCAGAACGTAGCGCTTTCGTGTTCCCGTGTGGGCAGAGACGTGTGTCTTGGCAGGTACAGTGCAGAGGGGCGCAACACTGAGCGTGTCAGTACGAGACGGCTTGTCTGCCTCCGCTTTGGAGGGAGAATATAAATAGCTCAGGGACTTCTGCTCCCTTTTTTTTTTTTCATTGTTATTAGGTCTTTTTTTTTTTGGCTCAACCTACAGCAGGCATGCAAATGTAGGTAATTGCGCTTAAGAGCAGTTCAAACACTTCTGAGGCCAAACTCGATTACAATACTGTTTGACCTGCCGGTGTAACTTTATTTTTAAGAAACAAAACACGCGATATAGCCCAGAGTCACAGATCTGAAGAGTATACTTGAAAAAGAAGAAGCCAACCCAGCCCCACACAAATAAGGCAGGACTGCCGTGGCTGCAGCCTGTCTTGTAGCCCTGTTTACTGACAGCAACATGTATAAAGTGTGACTAAACGCAGCAAAGGCAGCCCTGCAATTAAATATTCCCGAGGCAAAGGTGGCCTTTGTCACGCTGAAGTGAAGCCCAGACCCACACCTTTAGTTATATCGTACCTAATGGGGCTGGCCTCCCTCAAGAATGAACTGTATTGCTTAGCTGCTTGAGGCAGGTTGGAAGCAGCCACCGCTCGGCTGCAGCATAGGTCTTGCCTGCTACCTCAGAGCCATTTGGGAAGCATTTTGCCCTGCCCTGGTCATGCGTGTATCGGCTTGCGCGAAAGTGTTAACGCCTGCTGCAGCGCCGCAGGCCATCGAAGGGAGTCCGGGGCAGGAAGCGCCAAGGAGCAAAAATGCAGGGTGGGATCTGAGGGGTCCCACTGCGGCAGGCTCCCTGCCATGGGGACAGGGAACCCTTTATCTTGCATGTGCGGTTGCCCTTCCATGCTGAGACTCTGTGTGGTTGATGGGGGGTAGCGAGCGGCAGGGTGAGTTCAGTGGTGACCAGGAGCCGGCGGCACACTCCACAGCCCCGGGCTGTGCTGTCTTTCAGGACCAGGTGCTGAAAGGAGACTTGCTAGGAGAAATGTTTTCTGGCTTCAGTTGAGGGCCAGTCTTCTCCCTGCCACCTGCCCAGAACAAATCCTCACTGAGTAGTCTCGTGTGGAGCTGCGTTTCATGTTGCAGGTAAAGATACTGTATGGTGAGAGCTTCTTCCAGCTTATCTCCCTCTGCAATTAGCTGTGGCCCACAGTGGAGACAGAACAGTCAGCTCTGCGCTGTGCTGCGTGATCTGCGTGTGATGTGGGCCTATCCCAGAGGGGTCTGCCCTTTCCTGGGAGAGAAAGGTCATCGGACACGTCTTTAGAAGCATCCGTCTGTTTCGAAGGACAGTAGCAATCTCCCTGCAGGTCAGCATCTGTATGGAGGGAGGTGAACATGGCCAGGTCGTGTTCGTGGAGCTCTCCCGGTTCTGCCTGGATCTCTAAGGACTCTGCCAACTCGCAAGTAAATTCTGCAGTTCATCATTGAGATGTGGGATGGTTCTGTCACAAAAAGTTTTCCTTCTTGTGGTTTCTGTCAAGAAGGAGACAAATTGGTCCTAGGTCTGAAAATGGCAATAAGCCTGTCCTCGACAAAATTACTAGGATAGGGGGGCATCTTGCCCATTACCTGAATTGCTGGCTTTGCTATAGACATGGCTGATGTAACAGAGCAGGTGGTGTTCCCTCTTTAAAAGAGGAGAGTTTGACACACACACACAGGGTGACTGGGTTCTCTGTGAACAAAATGGAAAAGATGTCAAAGTTGTAGAGGGTGTTTTGGGTTAACTTGCAAGCCCTCCTAACCTTAAAGCTTCAAAATAGGTTTCAGACTTGATGATTATTGAGGCCTATCAAAAAAGTACTGTAGTAATTTTTCTGTTAATTTTGTTAATTAACTAATTTTTAAGCTAAAATGAGAATGTCTCTTGAAAAGTGTAGTAAATATTCTGGCTTATTTTTATTTGCATAATATGTTCAGAAATGATATTTTTTCCCCAAGAATAGACATTGGGCCTCAAAGCTGATATAAATCAAATTTAAGTTAAATTCATATTGAAGACAAACATTAAAAAATAGATCCCATTCACATACTTAATCCTCTGCTACTTCTGTTTTTCTTGGAAGTTTGCAAAAGATATACTCAGAAGTTAATTTTGATAGTCTGAGTCAAAAGCTGAGCAGAGAAGAACCTCAGGAAGTTCAATAAAGGGAAGCGCAGGGTCCTGCACCTAGGGAGGAATAACCCCATGCAGCAGGACAGGCTGGGGGCTGACCTGCTGGAAAGCAGCTCTCTGCAGAGAAGGCCCTGGGAATCCTGGTGGACAACAAGTTGAGCATGAGCCAGCAATGTGCCCTTGTGGCCAGGAGGGCCACAAGGTGGTGTCCTGGGGTGCATGAGGCAGAGTGTTGCCAGCAGGTGGAGGGAGGTGATCCTGCCCCTCTCCTCAGCCCTGGGGAGGCCACCTCTGGAGTGCTGTGTCCAGTTCTGGGCTCCCCAGGACAAGAGAGACATGGCACCGCTGGAGAGAGGCCAGCAGAGGGCTACAAAGATGATGAGGGGACTGGAGCACCTCATGTATGAGGAAAGGCTGAGGGAGCTGGTGCTGTTCAGCCTGGAGAAGAGAAGACTGAGGGGGGATCTGATCAATGTGTACAAGTGTCTGAAGGGAGGGTGTCAAGAGGGTGAGGCCAGACTCTTCTCAGTGGTGCCCAGTGACAGGACGAGAGGCAACGGGCACAAGCTGAATCACAGGAAGCTCTTTCTGAAGATGAGGAAAAAGTTCTTTGCTGTGAGGGTGACAGAGCCCTGGCGCAGGTTGCCCAGAGAGGCAGTGGAGTCTCCTTCGCTGGAGATGTTCAAAACCGGCCTGGATGTGATCCTGTGCAATGTGCTGTAGAGGTCCCTGCTTGAGCAGGGGGGCTGGACTAGATGATCTCCAGAGGTCGTTTCCAATTTCAACAGTTCTGTGATTCTTCGATGCTGCCACGTGTTGTAACATGGACAATTAAGTTTGAGAGCTGCTATGAAATCTCTGTGTTAGTATTCAGTGTGCAATCGAGTACCGCCTGTCTTTCCAATGGTTACAAGATGTGCAAATATTACAGGGATCCTGTGAACATGAAGATGTTCAGTAAACAAAACTGGCTTTAGAGTTTTGGAACTTTGTGGATGTGGGGCACCTGCACCTTGTAGTTAGTTTTGACAATCCAGTCATTGAAGTGTGTGTTTGTTATTTTACTGCAGCTTTTGGGTTTCAGATGCTTCAGGGTTAAACACCATTACTGGTGTTAGAAGTTGGGTGTTGGGGGTCCTTGGCCTTTTGAAAAGGCTTATTTCTGCAAAACAGAACAAAGCTGAATTTGTATGTGCTTTCCCTTTGATTCTTAGGCTGCTCTACCAAATCCCCTTTGGTAGTTTGAAACATTGCCCCCCAAAAAGAAAAAAGAGAGAGAGACTTTTCATCTGAAACTTTTCTATATAAGAAGCTTGTGCTATTCCATTGTAGGGGAGCCACACAAAATACAGCACTCTCTCTACAGTTCACAGATCGTCTGAGCTGGTCTAGCTGTATGTCTAGGTTGTCTAGCTGTATAACTAGCCTATGTAATGAAATTGTTAATGCAGGAGATTAACCTGGACTAGCCATTTATTGGAAGAATTATCACTGGTATTGGAAACATTGACCGAGTAACACAGAATTGTTTTTATTTGTTTGGTACCACGTTAAAACCCTGTTTGTAATGGTTTGGAGGTGGCAGTGCTTTGTAGCTCTCTCATTACGTTTTTGCAGACAGTAAAAGATTTGGAATAGCTCCCTTAGTAAGGTGGCCTCAAGGAGAAGAAAAACTGAATATACAGCCAGAAGTATTTTTACCTTTAAATCCCAGCCCTCTTAGACTACTGAGCCAAATTCCATTTCTAACACCTTATGTGCTCCTGCTTGGTGTCGCCTGAGAATGCCTGCATTCAGGGCAGAGGATGTTCATGATAAGCCTAAAGAGAAGAGTATGTGAACCAGAAAGGCAGAGAAGGCTAGCCTCCAGGACTTGCGGTGGAGAAAACAAACTTTTTTCTTTATCCATGTTGACCAGAATGGAAGTCTGATCTGGAAAAAAAAGAATGGCAAGCTCTGAGAGAGCAATATGGAAGTTGTTGTGGGTTTCTTATGACTGAACATAACAGATACTTGTACACATATACATATGAACATACGCATATGAACATGTACCGACTATAATGAGCATGAACAATGTAACGGTTCCCAAAGAGGGCTCTTGACGAGAGGCATTAGTAATTGGGGGTGACTACAACATATGGGGGAGGGTAGGTACGCTGTCTTGATTTGAGAGGGAAAAAGAGTACCCAAGGATTTTGCAGAAGGATGTACATGTACATCCTTTTGCAGAAGCTGGATTAGTAGGATTTAGAAATGTCTTGGTGTTAGTAGATGCTGCATTTATGTGGGTAGATGACAAAGGTGAATGAAATCTGCTCTGGATGTGTAGGTAGAACTTAATACTCACCTTGCACTCCTTAAAGAGTAGGGGAGAGCCTAACTGTCCTGGTGAACCTGTAATCCTGTCATATCAAGGCTGTGATTTCCATGCAGCAGAGATCTGTTAGCAGGTCAGAGATCTGTGTTAACCTGAAAGAGATCTCTCTTTTTCCCCATTTTTTGGCCCCAACACATTCTGTTCTGACAATGCAGTGTTTTTCCTCTCTTGTTCACTTTCTCTCTGAGGAGCAGTAGTGTAAAAATCCACATGAAAGCTGTGAACTGCTCAGTAGAGGTCATAGTATGTGTTTAAATATCTGCTGTGGTGCACATGAAAAGGGTCCGTGACAAAACACAGGAGTTCCCTGCTTTTATGGATATCTCCACAACCAGCAGTTTGTAAAAAGGTAACTTGCGTTTCTCGCAAGTTAGAGTGGTGTAGGAGGAGCTGTGCTGGGCTGGATCTCTCCTGGGCTGAGGGAAGCCTCACTGATCTGCTTCTGGAGACGGTTCAAGGAAGTCACTCCATTAGAGCTTAACAGATTTTTTTGTTTCCCTGGAACAATTTTAACTATTCTGTTTCAGACTCCATGGAGAGCATGTATGTTGAATAGAATGTAAAACTATAAGGACTACCTTGTCAGTTTAAAGTTGTGTACTTCTGCCGACAGCGTGGTCTTCGTGGCACAGAAATAGGATACATGCATATGTGGATGCAGTCATAATTCTTACTGTTCTTGTAGCAGGGTTTGTGGTATGAGAGTTGGGCCCTGGTCCCTTGCAAATGAGGTGAAGAGCAGGCGTAAGTCCCTTGTCTTTCCAGGAGAATCCAAAGAATGAAGCAACTGGTTGGATTAGAGAGTCTGACTTCAAGCAGAAGCAGACAGATGTCAGAGATGTCAAAGGTCCCACATATTAATTTATGTAATCTTTCTAATTGCTTTGAAAATGACATCTGTTATTGCCTTCCCTCTGTGACAGTCTGTTTGGCATTGAACCCAGTGCTAGATCTTTCTCCTGCCCTCTAATGCTGTTATGCACTGGATAGAGAGTATGCATCTCCATCCTTAGGTCTGCATGAGCTCAGTTGTCCTGTATGCAAGCCTTTTTTTTTTTTTTTTTTATACTTTAATGTTAGGATATAGTACTGGAGGAGAAAGGGGAATGGAGCCAAATTGCTTAGGGAATTTAATTCTGATTCTAGTCGTGTAGATTTTAAACAAAAAGCTGTATTATAACTGCAAATGAGCAGGGGCTCGTCCTACGTTCCTTGACCGAGAAACCTCAGAATTCAGCTTCATAAGAATCTTTTCTTCCTTTGGTGATTTTGAAAGTATTCACTATTGGTGATAGTGTGGAATAATTTCTAAGCACTATGAGTAACTGAATAGTGTAAGAAAAACATACTTTGATCTGTTAAAACTTAACTTCAGTGATATCTAGAGCCTCCTTTGTTGTAGCATTAGCACTTGCATATTGAAGCAACAGGCACATTGAGAGTACCTAAGATTATGTTGAGTGCCAGTTGCACCTTGCGCTTAGTAAAAAGGAAAGGTAAAAGAATTTTTGTCTTTGTCTGATGGAGAGGATCTTGGTTTAAAGAGTTATTTGTGTTAATAGAATTGATGTAAATGCACTCCAGGACATGACTAAGTTGTATTTTAGGGCTGCAAAGATGATGAGGGGACTGGAGCACCTCATGTATGAGGAAAGGCTGAGGGAGCTGGGCCTGTGTAGCCTGGAGAAGAGAAGACTGAGAGGAGATTTTATCAATGTATACAAATATCTAAAGGGAGGGTGTCAAGAGGATGAGGCCAGACTCTTCTCCATGGTGCCCAGTGACAGGACAAGAGGCAACGGGCAGAAACTGAAGCACAGGAAGTTCCATCTGAACATGAGGAGAAACTTATTTCCTGTGAGGGTGACAGAGCCCTGGCGCAGGTTGCCCAGAGAGGCTGTGGAGCCTCCTTTGCTGGAGATATTCAAAACTGGCCTGGATGCAGTCCTGGGCAACGCGCTCTAGATGACCCTAGAGCAGGAGGGGTTGCACTAGATGATCTCCAGGGGTCCCTTCCAATCTTGACAATTGTGTGATTTTTTTTGGCTCTCTGTTTTTTGTTGTTGTTCTTCCCTGCCCCCAAAGGTAATGGGACCTATGTTTGAAAATTTGACAGGGTTACTTATACCCTGCCGTAGTGACTCTATCACATCACTAGCTGCTTAGATTTTGAGTGCTCTGGATATCTAAAGATGCTCAAAGTGGTAATTCTTGCGTACGTTTCTGGAGTTTTTTGTTTGTTTGTTTTTATCAGGCAAATGAGAAAAAGGGCGCTTGTCTGCTAGTTGAGTTAATACATTAAGTAATATCGGAGCCTGGTCCAAGCTGGAAAGGAGTTTTTTGTTTTGTTACAATTGGAAATTCTCCCTTCACTAGGGAGAATGCCCCATTTGAGCAGATCTCTCTGATTTTGGTGGTGCCTTCTCAGACCTTCGTTAGTCCAGGAACCCCATCCCTGGGAATCTAGTGGTTTTGGTTATGTTTAAGCTGTTGCTTGGTTCTTGCTTTGCCTTGGAGGGCTCAGACAGGTATTTTACATCTCTGACTCCAGAGCTCAGCCCGCTGAAGCCTGATGAATTTTGCTGGCTATGCATGTGGCTCGGGGGCAAGGAGTTGGTTGTGTTATTCATAGACGCTCCCTTCCAGCATGCCAAAGAACAAACTGGGTACTTGTCTACAAAGGCAATTATTTCACAAGAAAATTGCTGTAGGGAGCAGCAGGAGCCAACATGGTTAATGGAGAGAAAAGATCTCTCTTATTTCCCCGCCCCCTCCCCCCACTGCCAATATTTTTGTATTGCCCTCTTAAAAAAAAAATTCAGCCTTATCTTGCCTCTGAAATAGTTTTGATTCTTCATACTGGGTTAGATTCACTTCTAACGCTAATGTTAATTGTACCACATTGCTGCAGGCAACGGGAGCTACTCCAGCTTTCTAGTAGAAAATGCAGGATACTGCATTTTTTTTAACCTGGATTGGGCTAATTTCCCACAAAAGGCAAAACAGAACACTTTCCTGCCTCTCTCAGAGGGGAGAGGGCTGGGGTCCTGGTAATCTTAGTGGCGAGCCTCAAGGCCTAGTTTAAGGGTTAAATGATGGCTCCTGAAATTGCTGTGTGGAAGCACTGAGGGTCCTTTTTTGCAGGCAGCCTTCCAGCGTGGTGGTGCAAGCTGTCACCTGGCTTGTTCAGGCCGCAGGCAGGTGCATGGGAATGGGAGATTTCACTGTGCTGGACTCTGTGTGACTTATGGTCCTTCGCTGGACTTGGGGTTTCGCTTTTTAGAAACCCAGAGTGCATCTAACTGGTGTCAGATTAAAAAGACAAAAAATGTTTGTTTCGGCTGATAGCTTTGCCACAGCACTGTGACAGGCGAGGATGCCCCTGGTGGCAACTGGTATCATTTTGTTAGTCGATTGCACATGTCACAAACTGTGACTGGGTCAGGATCTGACTCCAGATGTTTTCCAGAGCTCTTGGGGACTGGCTGATGGGATGGGCAAGAGTCTACCAGGGCTGGAGAAGGCTTCCTGGGTTTCAAAGTGTACGAGCGTCTGTCTTTTGATCCGTTGCTGTAACTGGTGTGCAGGTGCTTACTGAACTTTAAAAACAAACCTCTAATGTATTCCAGCAGAGCAAGTCTTTCGTAAACCTGGCAAGGGGGTGTCAAAGCAGCACTTTAAAAGAAAAAGTAGAACTTTCTGTTTACTAGGGGTCTGTGTTCAAACTTTGTCCTGTTACTTATAAAGTACTGTTCTCTGTTAATTTCCACTCCTCAGGTGTGTTACAAGAGCTGTCGTCTAGCAAGAGAGTCTCTGTGCAGGGGGTATTATATGTCTGACCTCCCTCTGTCCTCTTTTGTTAGTTGGTGGACGGAGGCAGCTGTGATTTATTGGTACCTGTGACCCAAAACTGCCCTATGTACTGCCTTTCATCATTCATAGCGTATGTGAACCTTTTTTCACCTGTCATGTGTGCTCCCTCTTTGAGGGGGCAGAAGCAGAGTTGGCCTAGAAAGGAGACCATTGCTTCCTATTTTGAACTTGGCTCCAAACAGATACTCCTAGCGGGAAGGCAGCGCTTAAAGTGCGGAAAGAGGACACTGCAATTAAGGGTCTTGACCTGGGAGGCTGTGTCTTCGACTGACTAATGCTTGGCACTTTGCAGGCTCAAACTTGAAGTGACCTGTAAACAACCCACAAATGCTCAGTCCATGTGCCACTTCTGGATGTGTTACATAACCTAAAATTGTAGGTTGGGGATTTTCAGCATTAGCTAGAGCTGAGTGAACATGATACTGAAATTATCAAGTCTAGATTTTGAGGAAAAGGAGGCTTTTGCTGTGTGCATCTAATTACAGTGGAAAACTTTTCTAAATAATGAATCCAGGGAATTCTTGCCCCAAGTCCTCCATCTCTGCATAGGTAGCCTGTGTCAGCAGGGCGGCTGAAGCAATGCTGTCCATGTTTGCTTCTGATTAATGAAGTCTTATGACTCACAAAAAGCTAATGACTTTAGCCCAGGGAGTTATGGCAGTGGTAAATCTGGCCATTACATACATTGTGCCTATTCTTAACAGAACAGCGTAAACATCAAAGTGGAGAGACGGGCTTTACACTAGGGGTATTTGCACTGTTGAAGTGTCCAACTTGCCTGTGGTTGTGAGCTTCTTCTCATTAGAAGCATAAAACAGAATTAGTAAATGCGAAAGCATTCCTGGGATATAGGTGGGAGATGTAGCATGGTTCAGCCAAGTGATGATCGTGAAGTTTGTTTTTTCAGTTTCACAGAAAACAAAATATTTGATGCGTGTTTCAGGGGAGGGGGAGGAAACAGCTATTCTGTCCTTCACTGTATATTCTTTTACTCAGGGAGCGTATGGAGCTATTGGAGGAAGCCAGGAAGATGGAAATGGCCAAGTTTCGCTATATCCTGCCTGTTTATGGCATCTGTAAAGAGCCAGTTGGTTTGGTCATGGAGTACATGGAAACGGGATCTCTGGAAAAGCTCCTGGCCTATGAACCGCTGCCTTGGGAACTGAGCTTACGAATCATCCACGAGACAGCGGTGGGGATGAACTTCCTGCACTGCATGTCCCCTCCGCTGCTCCACCTGGACCTCAAGCCTGCAAACATCCTACTTGATGCCCACTACCATGTCAAGGTATGTCTCGGGCATTTTGTGCCAAGCACCCACTTCTGGTACTGGATATTCCTGTGTGGCTCCTACCAAGCTCAAAGGCCTGAGAGAAACCAGAAACGTTTCTTTTGAGTTGGAAAAATCTCTCTCCCCCTGCCCCAACCCCTCCAATCCCCAAACTTTTCTAATTGATTTATGCACTGTTTGGGTGCATAAATAGAGGTAGAGCGGGGGGAGCTCATGAGAACTCTCCTGAAGTTTCAGGAGGGTGGTAGTGTAGCAGCTTTGGCTTTGAGGCCTCATAGATTCTGTCTTAAATGTCCTTGCTGTTGTGTCATGAAACCAGTGACAACAGGGAGAGAAAAGCGGTGTGGACCTTTAAATCATCTATGCCATTTCTACAGCTCGCAGCGGCAACCTTCTTCTCTGTAGACTTTTCCCAATTTGTGCCCTGAATTAACTGCCCGAATCTAGTTTAGAGCTGGAGTCTAGGGAAGCAGAGTCCTGTCAGAAGCGAGTTATTTTCTCTTTTCATTCGCTCAGAGCATATACAATGAAAAAGTATTTCTGTCCTGACTGCTTATGCCTTCCAGAGATCAATCAAGGATTTTTTTATGGCTATATCAGCATCATATTATTTTCATTATCAGTTTCCAGAGCAAGCTAGCAAATTTCATGGCCTTTTCTTGTGAGATTCTGTTTTGACAGCTGGCCTGGGGAGACTGTGCTTGCTTTCTGATCCTTCCTATTGGAGAGGAGAGGGACTGAAATCTATCTTTTTCTCCTAGGTGTTTTCGAATCGGTGGCCAAACTCTTAACCTTCAAACTGTAGGATTAATCATGCTGCCTGGCTGCTACAACTCAGCACGAGTAGTCACCTTACAGGTTTTTATCAGTGCCATCTTACTTTTGCTCCCTGTTTTCCTGTTCCCCTCAAATTGGCCTAATGGCTTTGACCTTGCTGCACCGTTCTAAAAATAAAGTTTTCAGAAGAGGAAAATGACCCTACTGTAATGAGAGGATTGGAGCATGTTCTTAAAGAAGTCTGGCCTGAGATGAAGTCTCAGCTTTTTCACTAGGCCTTTTTGGTGGTCTACTTCTAGGAGGATTTTCATCCACAGATGTGAGGCAACTATTGGCAGTCTGCGGTACTATTACCCGAACCTGATGAGGGTCTGAGCTGTTAAAAGTGTGTTCTCATACTCTTGGTGCTTTGAGGCCATTGCTAAATATTTATTTACTTGAAGTTCGAGCTTGCTTGCATAACTTCTTAAAGTCCTAATTTTTGACTCACCACAAGCCAAGATATGAAGGTTGTATCTTTCTCACTTTTTCAAGAGATTGAAATGCGGCCTGATATTCTGACTACTGTGCAGCCTATATCTGGATGGTGATGTAATACAAGGGGGCAAAGTACGAAATGTAAAAATGGCTGTCTGCTGAGGTCATTGTTGACATTGAATATAGTTACTACTTGCTCTGTATATGAAACACATGAAGATCTTCAGACCTTATCCATTAAGTCCAGAAAACAGTGGTCTAATCCAGACAGTTTTTCAGCCATCAGTCTTTTAGATCTGCAGGCATGCTGGAAACTCCTGCAAGCAGCAACGCAGACATAGGAACCTACGTGCAAGCTAAGAGAGGTGCACGTTCTGTGAGGAGTCTTCACTTTAAAAATGTGGCCCCAAACCTTCTTTTTGTATGATGTGAAACTTGTAATTAAATTTCAGACCCTGCAGCTTGACTGAATGCACATTTTGTTGTTGGAAGGCTAATGAAGCTGGTGATTGAAGTGTTTTTACTTTTTAAATGTTAGTGTTAATTTAGGTGACCTGTCCCAAGTAGAATCCTAAAGCGAGTGAAGAGATGTTGCAGATTGCAAAAGAAGAGTTTGGAGGTAGGGAGGATTTTTATAAACTGTTTGCCCTTGAGCCAGGAAGCAGTCTTCCAGTGGAGCGCGTTAGAAATGCTTCTGTGCCCTATTGCTAGTTAAATGGAAACACGCCCTTCTTCTTTTGTAAGCACAACACTTACTTTAAAACCCCAAGTGAGGATGATGACTAACGCAGTGGTGTTGTGCAGAACTTATCATCTAGTGGGTGCCTCCATATCATAAAGCTGTCTCCTGTGTATTACATAAGAGTTTGTGCTGAACTTTGTTAATTGGGAGGATAATTAAGAGCATGGAATTAGCCAGAGCAGGGACATAGATAGCTATTTATTAATATTTCTTTCAAAGGTGTGTTGGGGGGTTCCTTGGCTGTTTTAGCTATATGTATATAATATGTATAACTTCTATTTAAGATAAGGCTTTGTTGTTTCTTGTAAGATGTATGCATGTGTGCTTGCTCCCCTACCCTACAAGTGGTGGTGGGCCCCAGTGCTGAAAGGAGCCTGAGGTGGGAGGCCTCCCCCCCAATGTCCTCATCCATCTCAGCTGCTTTAAGCTGTGTGGTTTGCTTGGGAGAACTATTCACAGGCAGCTAGCAGGGATCAGGCTCTCTGGTTTTTTTTTTTTTTTCTTTTTCCATTATTTTCAACCTCTTGCTTCCATTTGTATTCAAAAGCCTCCCTGCCCCTCTCTCTAGCGTTTCATATATGCAGCCTTTCAAATACTTGGGCTGTTTAATACCAAGTTAAGTTTTTGCTTAACTGCACCATGTCAAGTGAACTCTCATTGTTCAGCCCTCCCATCCTCTATTGAAATTGTGGATCTCTCTCCTGAGCCCCCTGTGCTGTGGCAATCACTTGCGGGGAGCTGGTGCTGGGGAAGGAGCACTACCTTCCAGCACTGCCCTTACAGGCTCTTAGTTTGGTAATTTCCTGCTTCGATGTGATCTCTCTCCAGGGCCCTCAGTGGGTGAATACAGCCCCCATATGCAGCAATCTCTACCCAAACTTGTTGCCAGCTACTGTGCCCACATACTCTCTGTGTCTTCTAAAACTTTCTGGCACTTCCAAAAGAAAGGACATAGATAAATGTGGTGGCACTCTCAATATCTGAGTGTGCGGAGACTTTGGACAGAGACAAACATTGGATATGCCCGCCTGTAGAGATTAAAAATTAATCTGACTGCTTTATGTGACCTGTTTGGTGAAGCAAACCTTTTGGTGAACCTGGTCCCTGAGTGCAGTGCACTGGACTTTTGAGTCTTATTTGCAGGAAGAAAAATAACATGCAGGATTAGAAGCTAAACGCACACTTCAGGACGGTGTGTCGGGAGCCATCAGTGAAAGTACTGTCCAAGCAGTATTTTTGTTTCTGGGAGCTAGATCCCTGCACTGTTTGGAAATAGCTGGCTTTACTACTCACTGTAGTTACTTGAGCATATCTGCTACCAAAAAAAATTGTGGTCTCTACAGAAGCTCCAAAAAGTAACTCGACAAGCCCAAACATGTAGAGCTTTGCAAGCGAGGGTGTTCTTTACAAACTAGAATGGAAGCACCTGTAAGTGACAGAAATGGACAAATGCCTCTGCACAGCATACTTCATTAAAAAAAAAAAAAAACAGTTTTATGGAAAATGATCTTCGAATTTTGGAATCTCGCAGTAGGTGTTGCTGTGATATACGCAGGAAAACATGTATAGCTCTCCTCCCAAATTGCTACTCATGTGTTTCTCCTTGTTCAGACCTTTAAAAAAACAGAGCCTGCGTGAGCTGTCTGAACACGAACTGTCTGTGTGGGCTTTGGCCAGTGTTTCTTCTCTTCCTGCCTTTTCACCACGTGTTTTTCATGGAGCGGTCTGTTGCCTCCATGTCTCCTCTGAAGTGTTCTGATATTACGTATGCTTTTGAAGCCCGGCAGGATCCATCTGAAGTAACTAGAATTAGGAGTAAGATTATGGTTTCTGTCTGATAGTGGTGGAGGGCAGATACCAGGGTGGGTTGCAAGGGCTGCCCCATAGGTTTGCAGGTAGCAGGGGCGTCAAGGAAGAAGTATGCATGCTACCTGCCTACAGGTGCTCTGTGTTCACTACATTTACCAGCCACATGCTGTAGACCTAGGTACATGACAAGCAATTTAAAGGCAAAACAGATCAGCTAAATGGCTGTTTTCCACCCACTGCACAGTTCCCTCTGATGTTAAAAGAAACTGCATGACTAATACTCCATGCAGTGTGGAAAATTTACCCTAAAGGAACTAATGAAACCCACAAAAGCTGTCTTCACAACCTTATTCTTGTGTTGCAGTCTGAAAGATGTAGTACTTAAATACTGCAGAAAGCACTGGAAATTAAATACGATTGAAGTTCAGCTCTACAGATGAATTTCCTTTTAATCTATATAAAACCTAACCCTTCACACAGGGTAGGAGTGGGTCAACAAAGCTGGAGTTCTTGCTAGCCCAGTGAGAGAGGGTACCCTGTGCCTTGGCTGTTTGCTTCGGTTTTTGGTTCAGAATGAGATCCTTTCACTCTAGTGTGTTTAGCCTTGCGCGTCCAAAAGATCCACACAGCACAGCTGGTGGCTGGTTTTCTCAACACAGGAGCGTCACTGAATGTGCTCTCTGTATTTCATCTTTTTGCTTAACTTACACGGTAGGAAACCTGATGTTGTTTAGTCAAGGAGGAAGGTGTATTGCTTTAATTATGCCCGCGTACCGTATGGGTTTCTTCAGACATATGTAATTCTCTACTTTGGGTTAGTCAAAGGATAGCCGGATAGCCGTGCTCTGCCAAATCAGATCTGCTCAGACTTGCAACAGTTGGATCGTTTATTAACCTGACACCACGGGCTTGGGCGATGTTGGGGTTGCGCTTTTGTTCTCCTTGGGAGCATTGAGTGCCCAAAACTCCTGCAGCATTTACTGGGGGCAGTCAGTTCAGCCCTTTGCAGGACAGTTGGCTTGCAAACACAGGTCTCTTGCCTGTTCAAAACTTTCCTGGACTGCAGTGTTTGGCTCACTGAAGAGGTTAGCAATCCCCCTCTGAGAGTATAACCCTACAGGCAGGAGAAGCTACCCATCCAAATGCTTTGGGAGAGGAAGGGCTCCTGGATTGCCTTGCTTTGTTTTCCTCAAGTCATTCCCACATTACCTTACAGATTTAAGATACAGACGGGCAACCGGCTGGATATACCTGTGGGATGGGGTGCAGGACGTCTGCAGTTCCTAAGCTCACCTCCGTTTAGCTCCCTCTTCCTGGGGGAGGTTCCTCCCGGAGCTGTGTGGGTGCTTTGTTTGTTTTATGACAGAGGGAGATTTCTGATGTTTGACAAGCCATGGCTGCATAGTCTGCCGGTTCTCCTGGGGACTGAAGGTGCTTGCAGTTTTCTCCCTTTACAACGACTGAGGCGTGTTACAACTGGCTTTGCGGTATCTTTAGAGAGAAACTCTGAAAGCGTAAAGCTGGAGCCTATTTCAAAAAAAAAAAAAAAAAGAAGAGAGAGAGAGAGAGAGACAACAAAACCTTTTTTAATTACGCCGTGTTGTTTTGAGGAAGAACTTCCTCAAAGGAGAAGCCGTAGCAATCGGAAGGGTGCTAGGGGAATGAGTCATTGAAAAGGCTATACATTTATTCGATAAAAATGTTTAAATCTGGTTTTGGGGGTGTGTGTGGGGGGGAATCTTGTCAGCTTATCTAGCATATAGACAAAAATCAGTGGACTGAGTGGTCCAAAAAGGCTCGACTTTTCTTGAAAATTCCACTTAGCAGAATGGACATTTTTGGCCTATTTCCAAAAAAAAAAAAAAAAAGAAGAGAGAGAGAGAGAGAGAGACAACAAAACCTTTTTTAATTACGCCGTGTTGTTTTGAGGAAGAACTTCCTCAAAGGAGAAGCCGTAGCAATCGGAAGGGTGCTAGGGGAATGAGTCATTGAAAAGGCTATACATTTATTCGATAAAAATGTTTAAATCTGGTTTTGGGGGTGTGTGTGGGGGGGAATCTTGTCAGCTTATCTAGCATATAGACAAAAATCAGTGGACTGAGTGGTCCAAAAAGGCTCGACTTTTCTTGAAAATTCCACTTAGCAGAATGGACATTTTTGACCAGTGGGAAATAAGTAACACAAAGGAAATTCCTTGCCTATCTGTTTGCTTAATGATTGGTATGCCTTTGAGTGCAAATGAATGCATATTTGTTTGACACTTCAAATTAAAGTGGAGGTGTGTTTTCCTTTTTATAACTTGCTGTCACTTGTTTTGTTCATTTCAGCTGCGTTCACTGCGTCACTGCACCAACTTGCTATAGCTGCTAGTTGCCAAAAAGAATTCCCTGCCTTTTTTGTTTCTTTTCTTGTTTGTTTTTTTTCCCCCTCTCTCACTTTATACCTCTGGTGTTGGGCTTAGTCCTTGTTGGCACAGTCAGTGTAACACAGTGATATCTAAAAGAGCAGTTGCCTTGCACTTGTTGGGAAAGTCACGGTCTGGAAGCAGGCGCTCAGAACACCGACAGAGCTTAACGCATGACGTGACGTTTCGTAGGGAAGGGGGAGGCAATAATTGCATGAACTTACAGTTTGCACCAGCTAAATTTGACTGGTCTTAAATTGAGATAAATTAGCCAACTGTTTATTGTGTTTGCCATATAAGGGGCTAACAAGCTGCTGCTTGCAAAAACTGCTTGCGTATGTGGTTTTTTTTTTTAACTTATCCGTAAAGAAAAGCCTACCATAGTCCAGTGCTTCCGGAGTTGTTTTTTTCTTAGCTTGACATTTCTGAATGGCAATTCACTGTATTTTATTAGATCTTCCTGTTACATCTGTCTTTGGTTACCCCACAAAAGCTTTGTTAACTCCTCTGAAATGTAATGGTAACATGCACTTCTACACCCTCCTCCTCCTTCTTTTGCAGATTTCTGACTTTGGACTTGCAAAGTGCAATGGCTTGTCCCATTCCCATGACCTTAGCATGGATGGCTTGTGTGGCACAATTGCATACCTTCCTCCAGAACGCATTAAAGAAAAAAACAGGTGTTTTGACACCAAGCATGATGTGTACAGGTCAGTTAACTGTAGGAATATCTAAAAGCACTTTAAATAATACTGTAAAATGAGCTTTTTTTTTTCCTGATTATAAAACTTAATTGAGCACAAAACCCCCAAATTCTGTTTGAACCTCATCTTGCAAAGGCTCATGTTTACTTTGCTTTATGCAAAGTCTTTGCAGGGTAGAGGCCTTTTAACAAACTGCAGCTGATCCTGGGGTCTTGGACATTATGGAAATAATTTCAGGTAACGTTTATTTATTAGGAACTGGCATGGGAAGCACTCTGCCCACCTCTGATTTCCCCATCAAGAGGTACGTTCTGACCTACTTGGAAAATTGAGTCTGTGACAAAATGCTTAGCAATCCTTAGTGCGTTTCATCACTAGGTCTTTGGTCTCTTTTCATGGTGAGGTTATGAGGAAAAGGAAATCATAGCTGTGAACTACGAGATATATAATGTTCTAAATGGAAGGTGCATTTTTTATGATCATCTTGCAGTGCAAAATTATTAAATAACATCTGCAGTCGTTCTCTGCTGCACTCCGGTTTTGTTAGTTGTTGGTTTAAAGCAGTTGGTAAATGTAACCAAGAACCCAGCAGTCTGCAGGTAGTCCCCATGTTCACTGCCTCAGGTTCCTCACTGAAAAAAACTAGGCTTTCAGGTCATGGTTCTTGGCTGCATCTTGCTGTGTGTGTTTGTCAGCTGAATTAGATGAAGAAATGAAAGCTAAGGACAGACAGCTAATGAAAACAAATTACACTTCTTTGAGGATTTTTAAAGTTTTTCTAGTGATCTTTTTTTTTTGTTTTTAAAGCTTTTCCATTGTGATTTGGGGAGTTCTCACACAGAAAAAGCCTTTTGCAGGTAAGCCTGACTTATGTGGGTTATGTCAGAACTTGTTTCCTTTCTCCCTTGGAGAAGCACGCTTTCCTCCCCACCAGCCTGAGATTACAAGCTGATGTGTCTGATGCATTTCTTCCAAATTTCTAGTGTCTTGTACAGTGGACACTTGTAAGTGCTCAAATTTCAAGTCAAATTTTAAGTCCTCCTTTGTCCTACACTGTGAAAGCGGAATCCATTTTGCTTTGGCTGGAGTTTGCTGTACAGATCCAGATAAGTGTGCGGCCTGCTCAGGCTTCTCGCAGATGTTTGGGGCCTGCAAGGAACAGCGCAGAGCAAAGCCACCTGGCAGGCAACTGTACTGCCTTCAGAAACAGCTACTCTGTAGAGAGGTCCTATAGTTTGTTTGTAGATTGTGGGTAGAAATTTGTTTATTTAAAAAAAGAAAAAGCTGTCTGTGAGAATAAGGCTTCTTTCACTCACGGACAGCAGTTTTTAACTAATACACTGGAAGTAAATGTTACTGAATTGCTGAATATATTGTGGGAGAATAAGAATAATTTCTTCTTTTCCTCCATTGATAGAAGAAAGTATTCTGAATCTAGAAAAGGCATGAAAACTTTAACCTCTTACACTGTTATGCTCTTAGAAAAGACCGAATTCCTTTCTTTTGCTGGGAGTTCTTCATTTGTGTGCTTTTACTTTACAGAGGAAAACAACATTTTACATATTATGGTAAAAGTAGTTAAAGGCCACCGCCCAGAGCTACCTGCTGTTTCCAAATCCAGGCCTCATTCATGTAATAACTTGATCAAACTGATGCAAAAATGTTGGCAAGATGATCCTGGTGAACGGCCAACATTTCAAGGTAAGATTTCCTCCTAACCTGGCTGCCCATTTCTTCTATGAGTCATGTTATTGCTCAGGACTCTGTTAATCCTTGGGGTAAATGCTGTGAACCTTTGTGACAGAATAAATAGAGCACGTTGTGTGGTGGAGACAATGATAGAGGCCACTCATTCATTTGCAGAGGAAGGGATTATGTGGGGACAAGTCTGACCATGACAGTGTTATGTAAACACGTTAGGGGTAAGATTTGTGCTGAACCAGCTGATCTGCTTAGCCATTACCTTGGGGGAGATAGTTTAGGTTCATTTCTGATTGCATGTATCAGGGTGTATGCCAAGCCTGGGTTTGGTGTGGTTTTTACCATACCAAAGCGTTAAAGGCCCTGTTTCCTAGTATGAACTGTTGTATGTCAAGAAACTGAATTATTTTCTTAAAATAATTCTTATTGTTGTTTTTCTGGCAATAAAAAGGCAACCATAGTCAAAGGTTTCAGCTCACCCAGAGCATTTAAGTTAAAAATGCAAAACTGCATCTTTCTGCAAATGCAGAATAATGTAGTAACTACTATCTCCAAGTGTCTTTACATTAGTATAAACTAGAGAGCTTTATCTCTTCCTACCCCCTTCCTTCTGCCCAAACAAAGTAGGGGGACTGAAGGATCCCGTCTTTCTGAAATATGTATCTGAGTCTGCCAAGCAGCTAGCAGCAGACTGGTTCCCATTTCACAGCCTTTCACTGTAGCCACCATGTAACTGATGTTACAAGTGAAACTGGTGTGAGCATGAAAATGAGCTGTTCAGTTAGTTGTATGCCTTCTGTTTTCAGTTACCCACTTACCACCCCACCTAGCACCACATCACTGGATGTGAAAACTTTCACCCACAATATCTCAAAGCTGTTAAGCTGCAATGGTAGAGAAAGGCAGCAGGGCACCTCGGAGAAGTCTGCTATTAAAAGCAAAAAACCTGTCTTGCTTTCTTTGAAGAAATCACTTCAGAAACAGAGGCCCTTTGTGAAAAACCAGAAGATGAAACCAAAGAAGTGCTATCTCAGGACGTGGACGCCAAGAGTTCCCCAGAGCAGCAGTCTGAGGTATTTTTTCTTTCTGCCTGGTGTTAAAGCACACTAAGTTTGTGCAAGGAACAGGATCTTCTGTGACCTGTAGCTTCCCAAGCAACCTTCTCTTGGATGCTTTTGGGCACCCGCTTGCCTTGTAGAAGTGGGGCTTGATGAGTGACAAACTGGGCCAGGAAAGCCTCTGCACAGGACTGAGCTCAAGTGGCTCCTCAGACTGTTAAGGGAGAACAGGACAGTTAGGAAGTAGAGGCAGGAACTACATGGGTGTGACTCACCTTGAAAATTGCTGTAGACAAAAGAACCATGTGGCTTTAGCAGCTGCGTGGAGTACTGATGAAAGCTTGTCTCCTGCATCGGAAAATTTTCAGTTACTATGCTTCATTTAATAAGAACAATGCTTAAAGGTTACCTGCAAATTAACAAAGTTAGGCTTCCTCTTGTACAGTCTCATGCTCTGTTTTCCTTACTAAGCTTTCTAAAATGCTTATGTGCTTCTCTTGAAGGGAACGGCTGCACTATCCCAGCCAAAGCAGGAGCCTGTTCCAGCATCAGTTAAGGATTACAGTCTTTCAGAATTGTTGTCCCAGCTGGATTCAGGGATTTCTCAAACTATGGAAGGCCCTGAGGATCTCAGCCGCAGTTCTTCTGAGTCCAAGCTTGCATCCAGTGACAACAAACGGCTTTCGGGAGTTTCATCTGTAGATTCAGCTTTTTCATCTAGAGGCTCCCTTTCCCTCTCCTTTGAAAGGGAGACTTCAGGGAATGGTAAGTGTGTGTGTTTGCATGTGTGTGTGTGTGTGTGTTTTGATGGTGGTAGTTTTTGTTTTGTTTTGTTTTTAGTTGTTTGGGCTGCAGCATGGTCATACAAAAAATAGCATTCTGGAAATCGCTGTTCGTCTTGCTTTCTCTTGCTGTCAGCACTATGAATTTGTTTACCAGAAGTAGTTGTTTAAAGAAAACGAATGAGGTGGTTCCCAAACATGGTCTAATGAGAAATAATAAATCTCATTTACTTCTGAAAGCAAGTGACCTGAATTGCCATCAAAGCAATTACAGAATCAGTCATGTGAAGGTTGATTGGATGGAAGATAGCCTAGTCCAGCTTCTTGCTTGGACCAGGACTATAGCCAACACCAGGTGAGGTCAACTGAGCTTGTGGCTTTACTTCAGTTAAACTGAGCCCAGGTTTGAGCACCTGTTTGGAGAAAATTCAAGCTACTTTGTCAGCAGTTCCCATGAATGCTGTAATAAGTCATCCCAAAATCTCCCCTCCCCCTTTTTCAGTCCAGTACTGCAAAGAACAGGCCTCTGAAGCTACCTGCTGTGCTACCTGGGGGCAAATAACGTTCTGCAGGTGTCAGAATTGTGATGGTGTCTTCTTCCATCTAGATATCGGAACTACAGACATACAGAAGAGGAAGCTAACAGAGGCCATTTTATCTGGAGACACTAGCAAGCTGATGAAGATCCTCCAGCCTCAAGATGTTGATATCGTTTTGGATGGAAACTCCAGTCTCTTGCACTTGGCTGTTGAAGCTGGTCAAGAAGAATGTGTCAAATGGCTCCTGCTGTACAATGCTAACCCTAACCTCACCAACAACAAAGGATCCACCCCTCTTCACGTAGCCATTGAGAAAAAAGTGAAAAGCATAGTGGAGCTGATTATGGCAAGGAAAATTAATGTCAATGCCAAAGATGAGGATCAGTGGACTGCTCTTCACTTTGCTGCCCAGAACGGGGATGAGTTCAGCACCAAAATGCTGCTTGATAAGAATGCCTCCTTAAATGAGGTAGATTTTGAAGGGAGAGCTCCCATCCACATAGCCTGTCAGTACGGCCAAGAGAATATTGTGCGGATTCTGCTGAGAAGAGGCGTTAATGTGGATATCAAAGGAAAGGATGACTGGGTGCCACTGCACTATGCTGCCTGGCAAGGTCATCTTCCCATCGTAAAGCTTCTGGCCAAACAGCCAGGTGCAAACGTGAATGTGCAGACCGCGGATGGGAGGACCTCCCTGCATCTGGCTGCTCAGCGAGGACACTACCGAGTAGCTCGCCTACTCATAGACCTGGAGTCAGACATCAACATACAGAACGCTCTCTCGCAGACTGCTCTCCACATAGCTGCTGAAACTGGCCACACAAGCACATCGAGGCTGCTGCTTAAACACGGCGCAGACATTGAGGCAGCAACAGCGGAAGGATGTACTGCTCTGCACCTGGCATCTCGCAGTGGCCATTTAGCAACAACAAAGTTGCTGATAGATGGAAGGGCCAATGTTCTCGCCAGAGGCCCTTTAAACAGGACAGCGTTACATCTTGCTGCAGAAAACGGGCACTCTGAAGTAGTAGAGGAACTTGTCAGTTCAGGAAACATCAATGTTTCTGACAATGAAGGGTTAACAGCTCTTCATCTGGCTGCAAGAGGAGGGCACACAAAAGCAGTTGAGGTTCTTCTGAAGCACGGGGCGCTGCAAAGACCCACGTTTCAGTCCCCGCTACAGCTCACTCAGCAGAGCAGTAAAAGCTCAATTACTGTGTTGTTAAGTGAGACTTAAGCAAAAGGTACAGAACTTGCTGCCTTCCCATCTGCTGTGAGAAGGCTGCTGGAGCTTGACTGGTGGGGGACCTTCTCCAGCTGTGCAATGGCCTGCTCGTCAGCAGTGTCAGTAAATGGACTGAGGTGCAGCCAGCCAGAAGCCATGTGCGTCTGAGTGTGTGAGTGACAGCACACATGGACTAAGGCTAAATGTAAGACTAAGAGCTGGAGTCTGCCACACTGTGGTCTGAATTGGTCATTCTGAGTGTCTGCCCTGTCTGTATAATGATACTCCCTTCCTAAGGATGATGTGAGAGTACAACTGATGTCTTTTTTTTTTTTTTGACATGCCAGAAATATTTAAAAACTAGCATTCTGTCTTCTCTTTTCTTCAGAAAGAAAATGAGATAGATTTCTGGTTTATTATAGTGATTTATATTTTAGGCTTAAAGCCTCCGTGATAGGATAAACAGAACACAAATCTACTTGAAATGAATGCAAGAGATGAGGAAAGGGCTATTTAAAATACACTTAACCCTGAAGCCTGGCTAAATTTCAGTGTCAGAGGGCACTCCTCTGTTTAATGGAGAAATACGGTTTATGAACTTCAGTGTACTCAGAATGGTTGAGGTAAACTATCATTAGCAAGTGCTTTCAATATCTGAACCAGGGAAAGATCCAAAAAATCAGCTCAGCACTGATACAAGATGGTACTGTATATGAATGTATGTACTCTAAGATCAGTAAGTTGAGTTAGGTGCTTAGTGGTTTGTTGTAAAAAAAAAAAACAAAAACAAAACAAACCAACAAAAAAACAAAAACCCCAAACCCCCCAAACTAGAATTCATACTGGACTTTAAGTGGATGGTATATTCTAACACATTATGCCTGTTGGCAAGACAAACTTTGGAGGGGTGTGTTAGGAAACTAAACCAACCAGGACACAGTATGTGTCCTAAGAGAATGAACTGTGTGATGACTAGATTGATATACTGTGTATATAGTATTTGTATCAGTTGTATGCTTTTTTTTTTTCTACTGAAGAAAATAGATTGCTTAGAGTGGGTATGTTTTAATACACCTTTAATTTCACTCTTTTCGAAGTTCAAATATGATCCATTATCAATAAAAGATTATGTTCCATATCTGCCTGTTGTGTGCTGCTGCTGGTTGATGGTTTTTCAGTTTCTTTAACAACTGTGATGTATTTAATGATGTTAAAAGCAGAGCTGTTGAACTGTAGATCCTAGGACTAGATCCTTAGTTTCTAAATTCTCCTTAGCTTTTAGATACTAAGCTGGGAACACAGGAAGGGCTGTAAGCATTTAGGGTATTTGTACAAAATCAGTGGACCAAATTAAAAAAAAAAAAAAAATCACATAACCTGGCCTGTATGCGCTTAACACTGATATTTAACTGGGCTGCTTTCCTCTGATACCATGGCTGCTGGGAGTTAAGCTTTCTTTCCCATCGTGAAGCAAAGTGAATGTTTCTATGTATCCCCTGTCATCACCAAGTGCTTCCTCGTGGGCTGCTGGCCGGACGGGTGCCTGGCCTCTGCCCTGTGGTACCATCCCACCACACATGCCACAGGGCAAGCACAAACGTGCCTTGCTTTGCTCTCGCCTTCCCCTGACAGCAAAGCTGGTTCTGCTCTCTAGATTTTGCACATACCTGGTGGCGGTGATATGAATGCCAGTGCTACCTCAGTATAGATATAGGAGCCAAAGTGCTCCCGTGGGAATCTGTCCCCCTAAAAGTCAGTACTTGCTTAAAAAAATACCATTCTCCTACTGAAGATGGTATCGGTAGCGGCTGAGGGCAATAAACAAAGAAGGATGGTGTTTGCAAAGGGAGCAGGGGGACTGCACAGGGGAGCCTACTTACATCTCTTAAAGCATACATCTCTTAAAGCAGTCTGTTGTATTTAAGATCTCACTTTTAAAATATGTCAGAAGCTTGACATCCCCTTTGCCTGTTCTCTGCTTCCTTTAAATTTTGTCTGTGGACCACATAAGAGCTATAGTCCTAGGGAACAGAGGATCTGGGTTAAAGTGATGGTACTGCTAATGCAAAAAGCCCTTCAGCCAGACTGCAGGTAGTACACAACTTCAGATAACTGCTCTGTGAGCAGTTTGAAACATTCCTCGATCCAAGAAGGGTACCTCTATGCACCTGCTTGCTACTCCTGACACCAAGTTTCTTTCGGCGTAGGGCTTCTCGCTTTATATAGGCATGTAGATGCAAACTACTGCCTATGCGAGTCAGTACACTGTCTGCCTGATGAAACTGTGTTAGGGAGTAGATAATAATGCCATGCCAATATGTGGAGGTTGCAAAGAAATACACTTTATACCTGAGTATGGAGGTCACTGTGAGCTTCCTAAAGGAGATGACAGTGAAGCTTCTCATTAAACAAACAAAAACATCACAATTTTCCTACTGCTTCTTTCAACCTCTTCTGAGACCAATAAAATTTTCATCTGTTTTATTAAGCCGTACTTAATCAGTATCCCCTTATAGAAAAATCTAACCACAGACGACTCATTCTCTCAAGTCCTGTGCTGTTGTGATTAAACATTTGGCCTAGCCTGGGACACACCAGACGTTGCTATTGGAAAGTCCTCTGAACAAACAGCATCAGCCAGAGTGAATTTTGAGATACTTTTATTGCAGTGGTATTTGCCTAAACTCCAAAAAGCAGTAAGACTAGCTAACAGCAGTCTTGTGCCTGCTAATAAAGCTGGTGCGTGCCAGCTAGACAAGGGGAAAGTACATGTACAAAATACTTCTAAAACATATCAAGCATGGCCTTGCCAGTACATTCCTTCAGTGCCTAATAATAATAGCACATTGGCTTCTAATTAAACGTGAGGCCACACTCATGAGTCTTTATTTTCCATGCAGTCTTTCACAATACATAGCACCAGTTATGTATTACATAGAAGGCTGGCTCTGGGAAAAAACAACAAAGGGCTTGCATGACATGCTGCCAGTATTGTAGTCGGTTTACTTACCTGGGAACCAGCCTTCCTTGGGGGCAGGAGGGGTGAATGGGGGTGCAAAATTAGCACTAACATGGCAATTATGAATTACTGCCTTGTAAAGGGCTCCTGTGGGTGACTTTCCTGTTTGTTCATTCGTTCGTGTGTGTGTGTGTGTGTGTGCGTATGTGTGTGCGTGTGCGTGCGTGTGTTTTGTTCTCCAGCTTGCTTACAAGCATGTCTTTGGTGCTTTCAAATCTTAGCCCTGTTCTTTAGAAACCACCTGCAGACAATGCAGAATGTCCTAATAGCAGTATTAGGCCTTGTTTTTATAGCAAGGCACCCAATTGTTGACTTGATTTAAATTACCTACAAAAAATAAGCCCTGGTGATCCTACCATAAATGCATACCTGATTTCATCTTTTATTTTTCCTAGTTTCCTTGGCAGGTTAAACTAAGTCACATGAAGTCTGAAAAGAAACATGTCCCTCACACCACTTTTCACCAGCTTACTTCCCTCAACTTCAGCTCACACCCTAAATTAAGCAAAGGCAATGATATGAACCATCGTGTAACACGTGGGCTCTTCCCACTCAACCCTCTGGCTTAGACAAACAAGCAACCCCCCCCCCCCCCCCAACTCTCACAAAAACTCTATGTATGTGCTTGAAAGCCAAAAAAAAAGAAAAAAAACCACCACCACCACCAACAAAAAGAACAGGGTTTAGTATGTGTTATGAAAGCAAGGTGGGCTCGGCAGAGCTGAGCTTTGCCTCAGGTCCCCTGTGCTTAGGATGCCTATCGGCTACTTTACTCCCTGGCAGAAGACAGGGCTGCAAGATAAAAGTCAATCCCACTTGCTCTTCACTGAAATAAGGTAGTGACACTAGTGGCAGTACAAGGGCTTCTGCACGCGATGTGTTCACCCGCTTCCTTATCATCTCTGCCCACAGCCCCAGGCAGCTATTTCAGCTGAAGGAGCAAAGTAGCAGGTATAGCTCGAGCCTTTACATAACAGGCTCTGCCAGGCCTAGGTGCCATGTTCCCCTCTCCAAAAGGATAAGGTGAACTCAGATGTCACAAGCCCCTTTTTGGATGAGGGGCAGACCTTGCACTAGTCTGTAGA